CTTAAATAATTTGCTTAAGTAAAAACCATGCAAACAATTTTTTCAAATTGATTTGGTATAACATAAAAATACCAACTTCCTTACAAATAGTCAAAAAGTGTTTAAAAGTTGAAATCCAATTTATTTTATTTAATTCGAATCATTCTGTTAATTCTGTTTTTAATTGTTTATGGATTCAGAATTTTATTTGCGCCAAAAGGTAATTTTCGATTTATTCTAAAGATAGATTTATAAATTAATTACACAATAGCTTCCATCACAAATATAATATTTTTGTAATCTTTACGCAGCTTTCATAGGCCCTTATTATCGTGCATCAATATATTGTATAATTTCATCATGAACCTCACTGTCAAAATATAGGAACTTTTTGCAAAGGAAATTTCCAATATATATATATACACATTAAATTCAAATCTAAGGGAAAAAAATAATTCACTAACAAATGATAAATATTAAAGTTAATGTATACAAAAAAGTTCAAAATTCATTTTTTTTTTAATTTTTGACAAGTACAATTTATTAAAAATATTACTAAAATAAAAACAATTTTCTGGGATATGAATGACAATATTTAGTAAAGTTACTTCTAACACTGGATTTTAACAAAGAAAATTTACTATTGAATTCGAAAAATTTGAAGTGACGAAAAATCTTTGCAAAAGCCGTGAAAATCTTAGATTAATACAGATTTAATTTACTCACCGCAACTATTTGTCCAAATATCAGTATCGATGATGTAATGCATATCAAAATTATTCTTTCGAATTTAGGCTATAACAGCTATTAGCCTATAAGCCGACCACAGTCATCATACTTTTAATTATTTTATAATATTTGTTGTCAAAAAATTTATCAAGTGCTTTTGAATCCATTTTTTCACTAATATTCACTATTGTTATTACTCACTGCTAACTCTATTACCAAGAGCTCAAGCTGTTCTGTACTACTAGCTTATGTTTTTTATAAGACTACAATATCAACAGTCATTAAACTATTATCAAAAGTGTGTTCTAGCACATTTGCATTGTGATAATAATCAGGGTCGCTTTCCAAACAGCACATACCCTATAAGTATTTTACCAATATTTTAGAAATATTTTGTTTCATTGTGTCATTCAGAAATATAACTTGCAAAAAAGTGTGTTCACTAACAATATTATCATAATTACATTACCACGGCAAGTACGATGTTACTGCCATACTTTTTACGGGGTCTTTGTACAATGTAGATTTATAAGTAATGACACTATGTCTAATATATTTTATATACATCCTGAAACAATTATGAAAGTTATCGAAAATAATAGCATTATAACTTTGTTTTACTACGTAGAGTCAATTTTCTGTGTAGTTCATAACAATTTTGTGATGAAAAACATGTTACGTCGATTAGCTAATTTGATAAAAATACATAACATATCAGCCAACATATTTTTATCCCAATTTTTATGTAGGTAACTTGGTATCTTAAAAAAATTGTTCATGCAATACTTTTTTGGCATTTGAATTTGAAGTAGGACTTTTTCTTTTAATCGTTGAAGAGGGTAAAGTAGATAATTATAATCCAGTATTTCTGATAAGACTTTGTTTACTTGTTTACCGAGATTTAGAATTTTGGTGAGCATAAAAGCATATTTACAATTAATATCATGAGTTACAATACATCACCGTGACCAGCACAGTACGATTCCTTTTCTTCATTACTGGGCCATTGTAATGCGTGGTTTTTATTGCAAGCATTTGATATTTTCTTTAGTTTTGAATCCTTTCTTTTTTTACCTCTGGTAGAGTTTATCAACGAAGCTTGTGATAAGATACTGCTTTGATGATAAAATACAAAAGAACATTGTCTATAAAACGATGTTCCTGAATAATATTATCATAAAAATATTACTGCGACCAAGTAAATGTTACTACTAGGCTTTTTTTACAAGGTAGTCAATTGTAATGCGTACGTGGTAAAGAATAAAACCAGTTAATGTAGGTATATTTATAAGCTTGAAAAATTTATAGCACTATTACAGTTATAGAAAATCATGTAGCTCGTAACCCTTAGTTTGCTTCTATATACCACTGGTGCTTTAACCTCTGAATGGCTTCTAAAAAAGTAGCGTATTAATCTACACATTTTTATTTACATTTTCATGCAGGTAATAACTTATTACCTTTAAATAATGGTTGATGCAATACTTTTTTGGCACACGAATTCAAAGTGGATTTTTTTTTCTTCAATGAAAGTTGAAGAAATGTAAGTAGATGAAAAGCCATACCTGATAAAACTTCTGAAGGTTATTAAATTGTTCTAATTACATAAATATTTTAATTTTCGAATGTATTTGTTCCCAACATCGTAACATTACTTTTTGTTAATTACAAAAATAAAGAAACTGGAGAAAGAGACTTGAGTATTTATTAACAACTATATGCTTTGCAGAGTAATCTACATTTATATAGTATATAAAATATTGACTACAAATTTTATGCAAAAAAAAAAAAAAAAATCAATGAAAATTTTAGAGACCATTACGTAGTGGTCGATTTTTAGTTGTAGTTTATACCTACTACATTAGGTAAAATAGATGTAATACCCATATAAAGTGACTATAGGCCAAGTTCATGATCGGTGCTGACCTCATTTTGCCCCCAAAGCCCATGTTAAATCTTATGAAAGGAAATAGTTCCAGTGGACACGCCATTGGCGAATTTACCCCCACAGCCTATAAGAGACAATGTTAAAGAGACTCTAGTAGCACCAGCTCTCCCCTCCAACCTCATGCACCCAGCAGATATAACTGTCAGACAATTCACACTTGATAAGTATTAGTTGGAGCTTTTGACTTTTTTGTGAAAACCTGACGAGATTTATGGATGCAATTTGTAAGAAATATGCTTTTCTATTGTGATTAAAAAATCGCAACGAAAGGAATTTTAGATAACAAGTACGTTTGTATTGTAAACGTACTATGATAAAATTAGATTTTATTTTTTTTAAATCTAACAGTAGCATTGTCTAAATATATTTACATCCGTGTAACATTTTGTCTGTTAAAATAAGTTATGTTATGGATGTTCTTAGTAAATTGAAATAAGTAAAAGCTGATTTTAGTACCTATAATTAAAAAATTTTTAAATGACACTCGGAAAAAATGGAGAAATTTTATCTAAATGTAACTTACAGTGCAAAAAGTCGCAAGGGTTAAATCGATAAACTTTCCAGCTGTCAATTTAGCTGGGTAACGTGATATAGAAACGATAAACATTATCTCAGATGCACTCTTTCCTGGTAAATCATACCAACGAATGATATTGTAAATGGAACCAACTTGTGTACACTGTGAGACAGATTATAGATTTCCTTTATTACATTAAAACTGTGTATTAAATTGTAAATGACAAACCTTGGATGTAAGAGTTTCGCCAATGTAACAGTATATAAAAATAGTCATGGTGTAAGATGCAAGTAGCATTATGTAAGATGATAAACTAACTAGATCTTTTTTGCTCCATTATTTTAATTTTTTTATAAATTTCAAATTTAAGTATAAGTACTACACTTGGTTTTAATCAGTTTTATTGTCCAGAATAAATTAATTGAAATTATTACATGACTTATTTTCAAATTCACAAAATAGTATTGAAATGGAACAGAGCTTGATTTTTTTTATTTTCTACGAAGTCTTCCATAAATTTGTTCTTACACTTTTTCCATATTTCATCACCTTAAATAATTTGCTTAAGTAAAAACCATGCAAACAATTTTTTCAAATTGATTTGGTATAACATAAAAATACCAACTTCCTTACAAATAGTCAAAAAGTGTTTAAAAGTTGAAATCCAATTTATTTTATTTAATTCGAATCATTCTGTTAATTCTGTTTTTAATTGTTTATGGATTCAGAATTTTATTTGCGCCAAAAGGTAATTTTCGNGCAGTATAGTAGTATCATGCATATACATAAAGTGCATCCAATTATTTCCACTAAGCAAATACCATTTAAAAAATCTTCAATCCTTGATCTAAAACTAAAGTGATTGACTTATTTTTCTAAGTATATGATAGTTAAAAAAAAAAAAAAAAAAAAAAAGTAGGTTCCCTTATTCAAAATATTTAAAAAAATTACTTCAAAGTTTTTATGTGACGCTGTACTATGATTGCGAGTCTTTCCTTACGGGATATGGCCCCTTTCGGAAAAGGAATGCCGTCCTTATCTACATCACCATCAATATAATTTTTTATTAATATCATAATGATGTCGAGCTGAGCATAGATGTGAGAGACGAATGTTGCAGCGAGACTACACGTTGCAACAATAATAGTGTCGCAAATAAACAACGAAAAGTACTGTAAAATGTAAACTGTGGCAAAAATTATATTATTTTCTAAATTAATAAATCCGCTGTAGACAGGATAAGAAAGAATTCGTGGCAATTTAACATGTTCATCTCCAGTAATATTTAAGAAATCGACGGTTCTCCGAGGATTTTTTGAAAGACTTTCCGATATTGCTGCTAATGGTATAAAAAAATGGTAAAGCAATGAACCCGTGTACGTAACGATGGCTGTAAAAATCACTAGTGATCTACACGTCTTGACCTTTTCTTGCATCACCTGAAATATTGCAAAATAACGATCTCAATTTTATTGACTTTTTTCAAGTTAAAAGCTTAAAAAAACAAATATAAAACTGATGTATGTATTATCATTATGAACCTTCTTTTCAACGTAGCACGTGTTTTGCCAATCCATTTCTATTTGTTGATAACACTTGGTGATTTCTAAATTATTTCGAAATATCAATGCATGTTTGATTACCGATGTAACCGCAAAATTTAACGGTCCAATCAATTTTATTTTCATCTCGAGATTTTTCTCTTCAAACAGTACACGCAGTACAGTCGGCACTATCGCAAACAGCAGCAAAAAGTAAACATTGATAATTTGAAGAAAGTGAAGGAGCCTGTTCAGTTTCGACGAATAATTTAACGTATCCCATAGACCTAGGGGCTGTAAAAAGAAACGACTGATTTGTACGGCGTATTCCGATTGTCTTGAATCCATTACAGACGCTTATCGTTGACTCTGATATATTATGTAGAAGTTTTTGGAAGATAAACCGTTAGAAAAGCCGAATTTCAGATTTAATTTAAAATACGAACAGTCACACTCTTAAAAATTCAATTTAAAATCAAATATGATATACAAAAGCGTTTCTGTACATATACAGATCTTCACGCACGTCACTTTATTTTTTCAAATGCACATCTGAAGGGTGGAACGAGGCTGGTGCAAGCTCGAGCTGAGCTTAATCAATGAACTCGATAATTCACGTGCGTTTCATCGCGCACTATAATCACGGAACGTATAATCACGTGTCATTGTACACCAAGAAAGTAGTAATTATTTTATTGGATTTCTTTAGATCGTAGCTCGAGCCATATAATTATCTACTTCTTTTAAATAAACAAACACGATCTGGACGGTTGTAAGCTCACTCGCCGTATTTTTATACTGAAAAAAAAGAGTTTCGCTCATTGCATCAACATCATGAGTGTATTTTTCAATATCTACGTATTTTTTCTACGACATGAAGCTTCTGCATCCGAGATCTCTGTTTAATATTTTAAGGGTTGTATGCAAGAAGCCTACAAAGACGTATAGGCTGCACAGAAATTATACCCATCGTATAAGACTCCAGTATATTTTCTAGGTGTAGTTAGCATTCAAGTTTCCAATGTAAAAAAAAGATGAGATTGGTAAGAATAAAGGAATCTGATATTTATTTGCAAAAGACGCGTATTAATCAGACTACAAATTTCAGTACTATAACTGTCAGAATTTATTTATCATCTGGATAAATTGGAGTTCCACGATAAATTGCGATTCGCGTTTACTCTTTACAAATTTATTTTCTGGTCTTTAAAGCGCTTTATCACTGAGGGTCCGTAAAACTTGACTGCATATGATAAAACAATATTTAATTAGTTTAATTTACTAAAAATTATTTAACGACGAAAAATTTAGAAATACTCCTGAATACGCTCAGAAGTAATAGATTTTTTTACTAAAAAAAAAAAAATTCTTGCTCTCTATCGTCACATGAACGCAAATATCATGACCATTGATTTCATAGGTTTAATGAATTCTCGTGATAACGACAAATAAATCAACAGTAACAATGGTATCAATTATAAAATATAAAATGTATTATTGAAAAAATATAGTACAGAGTGCTAATATTTATGCTTGTGGTAGTGTTTTCTTGGTACAGGTGATGTAGGACTGGCAGCTCTGTATTTCGAAGACCTCGAGGAAGTAGGTGACAATGCGGGTGAACGTCGTCTTTTGCGCTCAGTTGGCGATTGGCGAGACAAAAACCTCCTCGAATATGTAGGAGAAGGTGACCGTTTTACTCGAGGTGGTGAAGGTGTATACTGTAATGACTTAGTGCACGGTGAGCGAGACCTTCGTTCTCGCGAGGATCGACTGCATGATTTTGATCGAACACAAAAAACAACATGTGGTTAATATAAAATTTTTAATACTTACGTTACATAAATAAATGTAAATAGATAAGATAAAAATAATACTATTAGTAACAATGAATGATCTAATTTCAGAGGTTATCAATCAATTGTTATATTAAAAAAAAAATTTTTTTTCTTAAAAAATAAACGCGTCAAAGATACAGTTTAACGATTTATTTAGGAAGCCGAGATATTTGCAAAAACAATAAGTTAAACAATTATTTTATCACTGCCAGGGCTCTAAACAATTGATTATTTACGTAAGTAGGTATACCATGTGCAGATATTAGCTGTAAATAAATCATGGGAGGGGATAAAGGAAAACGATTAAAGCACCGATTATCAGTTAGGAGGGCTTCAGTCTCTCTCTGCTCCACTCCGCTCCCTGACCATCGCCAATATCGCCATGCACTTTCTGTCATTGTGCATGGCTATTTGGCACTGGTGCATGTCTTTTTTGAAATCTAATATATAAACCTTATATATTCGAAACATAATATAATTACATAATATGTAATTCGATCGATCGTTCAGTGTGTGTTGTTTTATTCACAATTATTTTTAAATGAAAACTTTTTATTAACTTTTAATGACAAATTTTAGTTAAAGTCTATTAATAAATAAGTAAGTAGTCATCTCAGATTGGCTTTGATAATTTAATACTGTAGTACATAACTCACCTAAGATATCTATTACCTCCTTTTGACGGTGGGCTCGGATTGCTGTGTTTTCTACTTCTGTAAGAGGATGAGTCTAATGGAGAACTTCGTTTATCTTTTCGTCTGTCATCATCTTTATCTTCACTATTATTTTCTTTCATCATTCGTTCACTCTAATGCAATATTATACCAAAAACGTTTCAAAAGTAAAAATGTTGCAACTTGTACGAAAAAATCATTTAAATCTCACTTACCTTTTTTATGAGTTTCTTACGATAGTGATCCACTTGAGATTCAATTGTCCTTCCTTCTTTCAGTGATCTTTTTCCACTTTCTAACTCATCTTGATATTGCATGGCCTTTACTTCAATCTCGCGTAATATTTTTCGTCTTTCTTCAACGTCGTCTCTATTAAGATGTAATTTTATGTAATCATTGCTTACATGTTTTCACGCAGAAATGATAAATGATGCAACCATACCTCGAGTCCTTACTTTTACTTTGCAAATTCAATCTCTCGTTTGGCCCAAGCTCTTCCCACTTATCTGTCGTCATTGCTTGAGCCTGAACTTGATCGGGATCGACTGTTTCCCATTTCGAAGGTATAAATCCAGCTGGCAATGACAGTTTTTGTACATCTTCGATCTTAAAATCTGCACTATCATCATTACTTTCCATAGGAATTCCATCAATGTCATCTTCCACTGAAAATTAAAAAATTTTTAAATAAACATTTTTGCGTTTCACAAAATTTTGCCCTCGAATAAGATTTAAGGAGTTCCTCGCTGATCAATGCCGAAAGCTCATATCTCGAAAGCTACACTAAAAATTATTACAGATTTTCGATGGATTGTGAACGGTCCACATTTCAAGAGAATCTGACAAAAGTGGAATTTTTGAGAAACTCCCTTAATACTTATTTTGACGTACTTGTCATTCCGTCGATACTGTCATTATTTAAAACTTGAGGAGTAAGTCCTCGCTCCATAGCTTCTTTTAAAAAAGCAGCTCCGTCTAAAGGAATACCATCTAGATCTTCTACAGCATCACCATCAATGTCTGACAACTGAGTGCCGTTTATGTTCTCTTTATTTTCCTGTTGAACTTCCCTTACCTATGATATAACAAGTTGCTGGGTATTGTTGGTATTTTGGGTTTTAATGTATGAAAGTTATTGTGAAAACTGTTCGCTAATTATGGTTTATGTTGTAATATGACTTATAACTAATTAAAAATATTAGTAACAACAATATTAATAAGTATTTTTTAGAGTTGGACACCTTATAAGGTAAAGAGGTACTTTCAGCACTAACTTCAGGTATCAAAAATCATGTTACAGAAATAGGACCTGCGGTGATTATTGTTTAGTAAAAATTTAGATACTTTACTATAGACAGCCATTGGGCACTGACAGTACTAACTTTATTCAAATCTAATTCACAAGTTACATTTTAATGTGTCTGATTGATTCCCTATACTAAGACGTCAGAAGAAGAGGTTATGTTTCCAAATTTACTTTTATTTTATACATTACTCCTTTTTCTATGTGATAATTTAATTTAATGTACTTCTGGAAAATCATTATATTAAAAATCATCGTATAATGCCGATCAACTCTTGAAATGGAAAAATTGTAAAAATTAGTTAATCATGTAACGAAATGTAGAGGCATTCTAACCTCTAACAAAATATGCTTTCTGTCTTTATCCGGGGATCCCCGCCTGCTCGGGCGCCTGCACTATGCAATCAGTCTCAATTTTCCCGCAAGATTGCATAGGAAAGCATGGGATTTTCGTTACGCGTCTTAATTTTTTCCAGTTTACTCCCCGGAAAAACGCACCATAAAAAACTTCGTTCTTAAAGTATTACATAACTAGGTTTGTTTACGGTAAAATAAAGAATGAAATGATGATCTCTGCGGTATCTTACGAACTAATTTCATTAAATATTTGACTGTAAATTGTAGCCTAAAAAATGTTTGTATTTCATACCTGATTTAGACCCAAAAAAATGTTTTTAAGGTGAACTAAAAATTCTCGAGGGTAAACTGACCAATCTTCCCATGCTTCAAGTATTTTCATGACTCTCCCTTTAAAAGCTTCAGCTTTTGATCGGCTATCGAATTGTTTATAAGCTTGGTAAACTTCCTTCGAAATTTTTAACAATCTCGACTCAAACCTGTAAAGTGCACAATCATTATAAACATGTATTCAACCAAACATTATCTTATACGAGGAAATCGAGAATACTTACGCTTTTCTGTAAATTGTAGCATTCGTAACTTTGGCACTAGAGTTATGCAAAATATCAGATATCAAATAAAGTCTGGCAATTTTTTTACTGACTGGAGTTTGCAAAATCGATAATGACTCTGATATGCAATCACATATTTCCTCTGCAGCTTCAGCATGCTCTATACAAAATACCATGGCTTCTGCAACTTTCAGTCGCTCTGGCACGATATTTCTTAACAAATTTTCTAATCTATCTCTTTGACTGCGAATCGAAAGTCTTAATATTACAGCAAAATGTTTAAGTATTACTAATCAAAATTACCTGTCTGAAAGACTTTCTCTTGGTTGATCTTGACCTTCTTCCACTTCAATTAGTCCATCAGGCATTCCTTGGGTCCAAAGATTCATCGGCGGCGGACGCCAAATACTACCACCCTGAAACATCCTGAAGTCTTCCGTACGCCATTCTTTTTGAGTATCTCCTTGTAAAATAGAAAATAACTTCCATCGGTAGTATGCGTGAACTGGAGAATGATTTTCATATAAAAATCTGAAATGTTTGTATTTTTTTAAAAATAAGAAGAAATTTTACAAACAAAACGTCATAAATATTAAGTATGTACTGTGAATACATGCATTTACCTAAACATTGGGTTGTTGATTTCTCGATTCATGATCATGGCTTCAAACATGGGTCCTTCTCGAACAACAAATTCTATCATTCTATGTATCAACATGATCAAGTTTCTGAAATACCCAAGTAAAATGAAAGTCAAAACGATGGTACATTTAAAAATACATGAACCAATAAATTGACTAAATTAAAACACACCTATTTGTCGGAATAACAACTTTAACAACTGCATTCTGCAAAACCTGCAAGGGTTTGACCCGAATGCAACAAAAAAAAATATCGTCAAAGTTAAATATACGTAGATATATTTTCTATTAATGTACAAAGTTACATTTTATTTTAAAAAACCGATTGCAGTCCATTATAAAATTAAGTAACTAAAAGTAATATTCTACTATCTATTTATCAGTTCTTGAACATGGCTGACTTGGTATATTGAAAAATGTGACTTCATAAGGCATTTTTTTTGGCTGGAATCGACTCCTGATGCCGATTTTGCCAAGAAGTTAAAATAAAGATAATAAGCCAATATAAACAAGTTCACCTTTTTAAAGTTTTCCATTTCCTTAGTATCTTCACTTTGAAAATGACAGTTTCTTTGTATCTAATAAAAATATTTTATAAGCTAGTATAGTCACACATTCATCAAAATTAATATGTTCATATGATTTTAAAACGTTGCACATATTTTCCTATAAATATTTAGTGTACATCGGTTTTAAAATATCTATGCAATTATCATTGACAAATAATTTATATTGAGCCATAAAAAATAAAATATCACAACATGCTCTCTTTATTGGTTGATAATACAGTTACTATTATCGCAATGATTAGGTACAAATACCTTGTCTTTATCACGTCGATGAGGTTGCGCGTTAAAGGGCAATCCAGATAGAGGTGGTGGCTGTATGATTTCCATTAACACAGGAGGAATATATATTGGATATGGAGGAATAGGTACACTTTTGCCCCAGCTTAATTTCAATTGATATGACATGATTTCTTGACCTGTCAGAATAAAAAATTTCAGTTGTAGTGTGGTATTAAAAAAAAAAAAAAAAAAAAACATTGCTTACATACCACGGAGATTTTTCAGGGCTCTTTCACCATCTTTTCTGCACATAAATGCAACAAAACCGCAATTTCTTTGCCTTGCTCTTTCTTCGTCGCTTCGGGGGTACATAATTTTTACACTAGCTAACGGACCAAATTTTCCGAAAATCTCCATAATTTGCTGTTCAGTCATCTAATGCACAATCAAAGAGAAGTAGTAATTCCTGAGTTCTATCATAAATTGAAAAAAAAATTGTAACAGTACCGTGGGATTTAAATTTCCTATGTACAAGTTCGTTGTATTTGGATCTCTATTATCCAAACCTAAAGTACAAATCTAAATTAAGATCAAGTATTCATTGATTTAGTCGAGTTATTAGTTGTGGGATACACTTGGGTAATAGCTGAATCAAGTGTTGTAAAAGTTTTTAAAGAAAACTATTTAAAATTAGCATATGCATGAAAAAGTAGTTAAAGAATAATTGTTAAGCAAAAACCAAACAAGCAGACGTCACAGCTGAAAAATCACACCTTCTGCTGATTCAACAGCTCCCAACATAGCATCACCCCTTTGTATCAAGACAGAATTTACACTTCCTCCTTGGTATTTGTACTTTCCCTCTCTCTCTTCGTGAATCATTTTCAACTCTTCTTTGAGCAATTCAAGATTGCTCTTTTTTTTTACTACCTCTTTTTTTTTTTTACCGAGCCCTTCCAACTTGGGCTCATCGCAGGCAAAAAGCTTGATTTTATCGTGCTCCTGAATTGAACCATTGTCTAAAAGTTTTAATTGCGGCTTGTACACCTTTCCCTTGTCTCTGGTGTCCTCATCTAGAAATACAAGGAATAATGTCAGGCGGCAAAAGGGAGAGGAAACTAGATACACTGCCTACATTGTTTGCCAGCATCATAGGTGCCAGCTTTGATCCAAACTTTGCCAACATTTGAGGTGGAGTTGTCTTGAAAGGTTGCAATGAACTCTCCAAAAATCTGGGCTGCAGCTTGATCCTGTTCTTTCTTGCGCTGCTCTTCGATTTCTTTCTTGCTTATTGGCCTTTTGCCGATTGTGCCGATGGAGAACGCTTTGAGCTTTTTTTCGGCAATTGGCTGAGATCATATGCGATTTATTGTAAGATTACACAACATAGGCCAGGATCAGAGTTTGATGCACACTGTTAGGGCTAAATGAAATCACTTACTTTTATAAGGTTTTTGTCCATCGTGATTTATATATAAAATTTATATATCATATATAAACCAGGGTCAGCACTCAGCTATTTTAAGTTATATTTGAACGATAGAGTCACTTAGTTAACTCTAATTAAAACTGACAACTCATAACTTGTTCTAATATTCTCAACACGTTTATTCAAACCTCCCTTTGAATAATTAAATTTCACTAGGGTATATAATAATGTTTCAGCACTGGTAATAGAAGTAAGTATTTCTATTTCTATTTCTATTTATTAAATGTGACCAGGTGACCACCTGTGTGTCTTACACCGCATCCACGTAATCGATTAAAAACCAGCCTCAACTACTTAATCTCATAGATGTAAAATAAAAAGGTGACATTGTCTGTGCTATTTGCGGCAAGTTTACAATTTATCTTTTACTCGAAAATCTACCTCCTATTTATTTGTATTTTTTGCTGTAGATTTTTGGGTAAAAGATAGACTGTTAACTTGCCGCAAATAGCACAAAAATTTTTAACTTCTTATTGTCTATCCAAGAGACAAATTGCGGCTGGTTTATAATTGAGTACATGGCTATACTGTAAATACAGTAATAATTATTTGGATCAGCGCCATCTAGCGTTGCGGATTTCTGAATTAAAAAATGGCCCTAAACTTTTGACCCACAGCATTAGCGCTTAGAGCCATTTAGTCAATTATAAACCAGCCGCAACTCATTTTGTAGCTATAAAATAAAAAAATAACGATACGTGTGTTTTTGACGGCAAGTTATCAATTTATCTTATACTCGAAAATTTATCTTTAAAAGTATAAATACATAGGAGGTCAATTTTTTGGTAAAAAATAGATTGTTAACTTGCCGCCAAAAACACATGTATCGTTATTTTTTCATTTTATAGCTACAAGATAAGTTGCGGCTGGTTTATAATTGACTAAATGGCTCTAAGCGCTAATGCTGTGGGTCAAAAGTTTAGGGCCACTTTTTAGTTCAAAAATCCCCAACGCTAGATGGCGCTGATCCAAATAATTATTACTGTAACTTATTGTAGAGCCATTTAGTCAATTATAAACCAGCCGCAACTGATGTCATAGATATAAAACATAAAATCAAAGTTGTCGGTACTATTTGCGGCAAGTTTACAACTTATTTCTTACCCAAAAAGTGACCTATATATTTATACTTTTGGAAGTAGATTTTAGGTAAAAGATAAATTGTAAACTTGCCGCAAATAGCACAAACGACGTTAACTTTTTTATTTAATACGTATACAGTTAGTTGCGGCACGTTTATAATTGATTTAATGGCTCTACTGTAAATTGTAATAATTACAGTAGAGCCAATGTAATCGTTAGTATATTTGCATGAATTAATAAAAGGAAAAAAGTTCAACTCATTGAAGTTAAATATACCCGATGATAACACGCACGATTTCTCATATTCTAGAAAAAAATCAAAGAAAACATATTGATGGATGATGATCCAAAGCTTGTACAAGTTTCTTGTAGTTTTTTTTTTTTTTGGTAACAAGTGTACACACGTACATGACATATATGTAATTCTTACTAATATCGGAAGATAATTTAATAATTATAGTAAACAGATAGCTTTTTAAGTAACAGTAATTTCCCTCGACACACATTTACACGACTAAAACTTGGTAACTTCCTTAAGATGTACTACTTGAAATCATGAACTTTTCAGAAAATAAAACATTTTTGAATTTTATGAATATAATTTCATTGCATTCTTTAAAAGTACATTAATTCGTGTGGTACCTCGTGATGTTTTTCATTTCCTGATTATCATCACAACTGTAGTGTTTAAATAAGTATGTTTAGTTTGAAGTAAACGTTTGCTATGGCATGCCCATCAACATGATTTTTCACAGAGCTACGCAAAAACATTATCATTCTCATATTATATTTGCTTTATTCAAACACGTTACTCATAGATAATAACAATAGGTTAAATACAACGTGAGATATCAATCTCTTGTCAATCAATCAAACGTGTGTGCAATGCAATTGTCATCTTGATCCTTGCCCCCCCCCCCCTACATAAGGCACACTTGTATAAACAAAAATCATTAATAGTAGTAATAGTAAAATAGTAGTACTTATAGTAATAACAACTAAGTAGTCGATTTTCTAAGCCGAATAAGATAAGTAGAACATTTATGGTTTTGGAGGTCGATTCGCAGATAAAAATTAGATTGTAAACTTGCCGCAAATAACAAGGACAATGTCAACTTTTTATTTTCTATCTATTACATTAGTTGCGGCTGGTTTATAATTGATTAAATGGCTCTACTATGAGTTATAGTAGTAATTATTTGGATCAGCGCCATCTAGTGTTGAGAATTTTTGAACTAAAAAGTGGCCCTAAACTTTTGACCCACAGCATTAGTGCTTAGAGTCATTTGGCTAATTATAAACCAGCCGCAACTCATCTTGTTGCTATAGAATACAAAAATAATGATACATGTGTTTTTGGCGGCAAGTTAACAATCTATTTTCTACCAAAAAATCGACCTCTTATGTATTTTTACGTTACGTTCCTAGGTCGTTGTAACGCCGCATGGTCGGGCACTCGGGGCAGTGCGAGACTGCAAGCGTCAACCTGGATTACGCACACACCTAGAGATTCTCTAGTAGAGTCTCTACTACGGTAGTACTACAATCTAAACTAAATCTCTACTAGAGAATCTCTGCTAGAGAATTCTCTAAATCTCTACTAGAGAATCTACATTACACAAACACACCTTACATTCCTGGAGTAAAATCATGAAACAGCCCTTATAAATAAAGTAAAGTCATTACCGGTAGGTTAAAATGTTAAGTGGCGAACATGGTTAAAATTATTCAAGGCTTCTATATTTATTGAACAAAAATAATAAATTGGCAATGTCACTTTCCACGTAATCTTGAAACCGCTTTTAATGAACAAGTTAAATTTTTTCATGTTTCAATAAACTCTGTGACTTTGTGTGTTAAACGTCAAAAACGTGTAGTAATCTTGAAGGCGTTCACAATGAACCTACAGAAGCCGATTAATCTCGTTGACATTCTTATTGACGAAATATCGCTGGAAGGTTTGGACGGTATAACATTGGAAGGTGTGTATAACTTACACTGTTTCAATTAATTTTTGGATCATTTTTACGATACGTTGTTCACAACATGGTTTATCTAACAAACCCTTTTTACTTCATGCACTACTTAGCACTATGGCAACGACTGTCCATAAGACTGGAAGAGCAACTTCCTTTGGCACGAGGTTTTATGGAGCAAATTTGGGGATTATGCTTGGCATTACATGATTTTTCATTCTTTGAGCTAGAAAAGCCAAGGAACAAGCTCATTATTTTCGATCACTATGAACTTGAGTACTTCAATTCAGATTTGGATAAGGTAAAAAGTTCAATTTTCATCATTATGACTTGCTTTGATTTTTTTTATCTTACTGTGCTTTAGATGTATGACGAAAAAGAAATTTACGAGCACTGTCCGGTGGAAGATCCAAAGCTTGGTGTCAAAGGTTCCTGTGCTACCTATCACACGCGCAAAAATGTAAAAAGCGTAGTTGAGAACCTAAGTTTGTCCGATGTAGAGCAAAAGTACGGCTCAAAACTCGTTATAGTTGCATCTCAAGGTTTAAGAGAACGAGCTTTGATCGACTACAATGTTAATCCAACTCTTCAACTATCACTTTTGCATTACTGTCTATTGGAGCGCATTGGCAGAACTCGATATCTAGGAGATGTTACAATCAAAAAATCAAGTAGTATAAAAGAAGATGCCAAAACTCTATTTTACATTAGAAAAGGTCTGCTAGAAAATGGGTTGATAAGGAAGCAAGTATACTACCAAGGAAATACAGGGTTATCGTATTCTGGCCAAAATATGGGCACCTTGGTTCACTTGACCAGATTTTTCAACACCAGACGACCTAAAGTCATAATTTGGGCTGCTCACCTTATTGATTATTTAAAATCTAGAGAGAACTATGCAGCTGAATACAGCGAAGTTAAAGCTGAGTTGAACTTGGATTATTCAATCAAAAAGTTTTTCAAGATCCATCTTTTGCAAAAATTGTTTAAAACCGACGTGGTAATTACATATTCAATTTAGTTCTCAACTTTCTATCCAATCTTTTTGACTAATACACTCAAGTTATGATTAATCAATCGTTTTGTTACAGAAAGTGCCTTATAGGTCGTATTATCCAAACTGTTTGGAGAAAGACTGGCAAACCAAGAGCAAAACAGGAAAGGAAAGAATCGTCAAGCTCGTTACATTGGCAAATCCAAATATTGATGTGAATGACCTGTGGAGAAGTGAAGAGATCAAGGAAGAAGAAAATGATCATTGTATCTTGGACGTTCGTAATCAAAAGCTGAATGTCCCTTTTTTGCGTCAAGCTTATGATGTCATCGAGGCAAGTGGGTGTAAAGGTATTAGTCAAATGGAACTTGCATCTATATTGGGACTCACAAAACTTATAAGCAGGACTATTGTTCGCAATCTTGTGAAAACAAAAGTTGTATCTACCTACATCGACGACATTGGTCGGCAGAGAACGACAAAGTTTGTATCTAGAAAATGGGACGAAAAGAACACTTACAAGAAACAAATGGAAGAAGAAATATCTAAAATAAAGGAGTACAGTCGTTCAGTGCAAATTGATAAAAACAAGGAAGTCTCAAATGACAGTGCAGTACATCATTGCGGTCAGAACATCCAAGAAGTTATTGAAGAAACCCCTGAAATTCAACCTCCTACGTCTGAGACAAGTAATTTACCCATTAATGGATTTCTTGACAACTTTCAACTACAATTGTTCTCAACAGTTAATCGAATACTTAAAAAATATGAATTATTCAATCAGAAAAATCGATACAAGTATACATCGTCCGAAAATTGTAGCAAATTATCAAGTGTAAGATACAAGAGGATGATCGATCGGAAAAATCAATGTTATGGACCTTCAAGCTCTACAGAAAAACCAAACATTGTGGAAAGTGACTTTTACAAAATGATAGAAACAAAATTGGTTGTTCAGAAACCGGAATGTAAAAAAAAATCCCAAAAAGTCGCTGTAGTTGGTTTCATGGAAAATTTAGACAATACGGATATATCGTTGAATGTTTCATACAGATTGATCCATAGGGCTAACATGATCATTGAAAGTGTAAAGCAACACAAAGTTATTGAAGACACGCAGAAGTTGATGAGGGTAAAAGCATAAAAATAAATAAATTGCTCAAACGCCATTTCCCTGTATACATGACATATACTTTATGCACTAATTTTTATTACAGTACATAAACGAAGTAGAATCCAAAGAGGGCTTTGAGGCCAAGATCGATAAGAATTCTTTACTGCGCTTGCTGCAAAAGTTGGCAGAGGACAACTTGATCAAGTATATCCAGCTGGTTTTGAAAAACAAAAAGCATGTCAAACAGAAAACTGTGAACTTCATCTGTGATCCTAGTGTTGATATCAACGACTCTCTAATCCAGTCTGCCGTGGAACAGGCAAAATTAAAATATTGCATGTCTGCAAGTTTACACAACCCCTACAACAGTGACGAGACAACAATAAACACAGATTTCCCCAAGTTGACTTCTTTATTAAAAAAATCGTGTAATACAGCACTTGAAAATCAAGGTGTTTTCAAAAAATCAGTGCGTTACTTACTGTCTAAATAATACTAGTTCTCTACCATAACGTGTTGTAAAAATACTCTAACTACCAATGTTTTTACTTTTCTTTTTAGTCAGTAGCAAGAGTTTATGGTTACTGTCCGAAATTTTTACGTCTAAAGCACGTGCACATATTCCTCTACTACTTGATTTACGGTCATTCCGGAAAAACTGTACCTAAGAGGGTTTTTTTAGAGAATCTGCAAAATGAAGACATTAATGTCGACGATGCCCTTGACTGTTTTCCAATTTTGTACAGCGAGGAAGTAGATTGGAAAATGTTCATCCCACCTCTACCAAAGCATCGAGGTAAAACAAAACATTGATGATAAATCATACAGAACCATACCACCTCCATTAATATTTCTGAATCTATTGAATATCAGGATACCAAACTGGATGGGCACTAATGGCGGACGTGCATCTTCGCATGCCACTGTCACTGTTTGTCAAGATAGTTAACGTGAACTTTGAGATCCCTGGTCTGCAGGAGATACTCGCTCATCCAATACAGCGACATTACCTCGTGAAGGACATACCGACGCCGATTCGGAACCTCCTGTTCTTCAAGCGAAAATACATCTTCAGCACCCATGAGATCGTGACGCGGCTCTGTTACCTCGGGCTCTGCCAGTTTGGCCCGCAGAAGCTTAAAGAGAAAGACCAAGTGTTTGTCTACCTGAATCGCAACACTGAGCTACTCGACACGACCTCCTCGAGCCCGGGCTACCACAGGATCGAAGACAAGCCCTACCCGTCGATCAAGTACTGCTTCACCTCGATGCCCGTGGTTGAGAACTATTGGTACGAGATGTGGAATATCTGCATAAACACGTGCCTGGGCGGGCGCCTCGTCGTACAAGGCAAGGACATTCTGCTTGAGGACTTGGTCCGAAAGCCTGAGATGATACAGGCGACGAAAGTCCGCATTGCCGAGGAGGTTGAGAGCCACGATACGGGCCTTGTGCCGGGCGATCGGAAAGGCGCGGCTGGCATCGACTCAGCCTTTTTCTCCCACCTTAAGCGCAACTGGAACTGGATCAACAACAACAGTCTTCTGAGAAGTTTTCCGAACAACTTGGAACTTCGATCTGTCAAGGCCAACAAGCCCGATGTCTCGGTTATGCAAAAAAGAATCGCTCGAGTAAGAAAACTGTCTTTTCTTTTTTTTTGCTCTTTTGCTTGCAAGAGCATTATTGTCTATCGATATCATTGAATTCCAGCCAAAAAAACGAATCAGCCTCTTGCAAAAGTCGTTATCGAAGAGCCTTGGCTCAGTTAAATCGGCGATGTTGTCAAAGTTCAAGTTGAAACCGGTACGCATCAGCAAGACGACGGGCAAGCTACTTCCTCCGGCAGTGTTCCCGCAAATGATAAGCAGCAAGCCATCCAAGATCATCAGAAAAGTACTTCCTCGGAAGCAGAAGCGCAAACGCGTCAAGTACGACGAGATCGACTTCAGTGCGCTCCAGCGCATGGACAAGCTTCGCGTGGATTGGGAAATTCACGAGGATAACATTTTGCTAGTCTGTAAGGTTGCGATGATGTATCTCTGTCCAAATCCAAGGCGCAATGTCATCACTTTCTCGGCCATTCGGGATGTTCTGCGAGCCTACTCGTTTACTTCCCTGAACAAGACATCGAAAGCCTGTCAAAGGAGGCTGCTCTATATGCTCAAACAGCCCAGCACCACCAACAGCGTGTTGCTTGCCGTTGAGGAGGTAAGCTTTTGATTTTTTTCCCAATTTCTTTGGTTGACAAATCAACTTCCCATGTATTTAGGTGAAACAAGATTTCTATGTGAACAAACGCTTCGGTGGAATCGTGGATAAATTGAAAATTGAATACACGGAAGAGGAGTATGAGCAAAAAGTCGAAAAGATTTTCCATGATCTCGTGGCTTACATTGCTCGAAAGTACTACAACATCTCGAACATGGAACACCGCGAGCCCATAGTACTTCCCAAGACCGTGCAAGAATTTAACTTGTACCACGAGCTAAAGCTACCCACGCGAACGATCAAATCTCCTGGTATTTCAAAGGAAGTGCACGAGCTCAACGATATACACACGTGTACGATAAATTCCATCATTCACAGTTCCATGTGTTGCGGTAAGGAGAGGAGATCCTGGGCGTATCAATTATTCAATGTGAGTTAAAATTTTACTAATTAAGAAACACACTATCCGGTCTGAGACCATTGAATTTCGTAGGTTTATCAACAATATCCGGAAAATCTGTTGCGCAACGCAATGCTGAAGATTCGAGCCGACAAAATGGTGACGATGAAAAAAAGCTACATGTGTGCAAACAAGAAATTTGGCAACTGCATGCCCATGAGTAGCTCGCAGTACCAGCTAAGCTCGTGTTACTACTACAAATTCCAGACCAAGTGGCCCTATCAAATTTTCTCCGAGACATACAACATACTGCTCACGCTTCTCGAAAACTATGTTGAAAGGAAATCGCAAGATGGCAAGCTGGACGATGGTGTCGAGGTAAAGCCCGACGATGGTGGCATTATCGCGACGCTCCACGATTATCTCGGTACAAATATTTTCGATGTCGACATCGACATTCCCGAGCAGATTATCATGCTTGATCCAGGCTTGCCACAGAAGCACGAAGTCTTTCAGAGAATAGCTGTTCGTTATCAGGCTATTCTCAACGCTCTTGGCATGAACAGTGTAAAGGTATGTTACTGTACTTTGTACCATTGAATTTTCTGCATTAATAGTATGGTAAAAGACACTTTTTTTTTTTTTTTTTTTTTTTTTTTATAGGATTCTCAATCACAGGAAGAAATCTTGTTGGAAGATATAAATGATGAGACGAGTACAAAGCAGCAGAGTGAAGTCGAGTCTCGTTCGTTGAAAAGGACACGAAAAAAGAACGAAGGTACTTTTCAAACGAAGAAACGGAAATTTAATAATAAGAAAGTTCTACCATCTACGTCCGATTCGTGGATTGACAAGGTCACATCGGACACTCCGAGCTTGGACGACGAAATCCAAGCTATTCTCGAAGGTGTTACCAACAGAATCGAGTTCTCGCAAACTAATTCTAACGAAAACCATTCAGTTAATGATACTAGTTTGCAATCTTTCTCGTTCGAACCACAAGACAGTTCTAATGATTGTACAAACACAGATGCGGGTCTTCCAAATTTTTCATGCGATTGGTTAGATGATTTTCAAAAAACCATCCCAAACGAATCATCGACCGAAAATGTACAATCGGTCGATTCAGTTGTAGCCGAAAAGGACAACAGGTCATCCACGAGGCTTACTGCGAGGTAAAATTACAAATTTGTAATTTTTTTACATATTAAGTTACAATTTTTCCTTGAATGACACTGTTTTTCCTGCAGTAATGCTTCGGAAAACAAGAAAGCTAGCTCTACGCGAGTAAACGAGCTGGTGAAGCGAGCAATGAACAATGCCAAATCAACCATGATCGAGAACCTGGAGACCCGCAACGAAGTGCAAGACGCTCGCACCAAACAAACGCGCATAGCCATGCTCCAGATGCGCGAGGAGTTGCATGACCTTACCATAGACGATAATCATCACGCGTACGAGTACTTTGTTGTCAATTCATTCAAGCTTCTCTACTCACTGGTATCAAACGAGGAAAATGAGAATGACATAACAGATTACCAGGGAATGAAACTGCCAAGGAAACTGTTGCCTGTTGATATTAAGTTGGTGAATAAGATTTTGGAAGACGTTAAAAAGCACGCGGTTTTTCCGAAAGAGCAGATATCGTTGGACGATCTCAAGACGGAAATTGAGCAGGATGGGTTGTTTCAGTGGAACGATGTTGTCGCGATACATCGATTCATCAAGAGTAAAGCCGAATTCGGGGCTACTCTGCACGAGTTAGTCGTAAGTTTGTTGTGAACTGCATTAAATGAATACTTTTGATTAAAATAACTTGTAATAGACATATTTATTGATTCTAGACCGAATTTTTTCATTCGTGCGAGAAACTCGCAGAAATTTCAACATTTCTGGTGGAAAAACGTGTAGTGTTGAGAGCTGGTATCGTAACGGTACGCTACATTCATCATCGATACATCAATCCCTGGATCATACGTTCTTATAAAATTCTTCGCCTTGAAAAAGAGTCTCATCAAACGGTACCTGAAGGCAGCGTATACCTTCTGGACACGAGTGAAAACTTATCTAATAAAGACAAGGAAAACAATCGAGTTTACAATGCTACAAATTTATTTTACGCGCCACCGCTCAAATCTTTGAATAATATAAACTTTAATAAAAGTGTAAGTGCATGTGTGTGTGTTCAGTGTAACTGAGATATTTGAAGATAATTAATGTAAATTCGAATTTTTCCTGCATTTTTCAGGATACTGCAAATGACAGTGAAAGGGATTTGGAAGCACCAAGTAGTAAATGTATGTCAAAGATAAGACAAACTCAAGAATGTGATTCGCTAGAACCTAAGGTAAACATACAATATGCATTTACAGAAATAAGTAAAAATTTATGCATCTATATCGTAGGTATTTTTCTAATGCATTTTCAACTTTTAGAGGAAAAAAATATGTTCTGAAACAGATGGTTTAGATGGACAGGTTAAAATTTCTGCAGATGTTGTGCAGACAGAAATAAATATTGATGACAGTTGTGTCCGATGGGAGGAAGCAAATGACAATTGTACAACAACGGGTTCAAATATGAAAGTAGATGGTGGTGATACTGCACAAAAAAAGAAAACTAACGAAGACAATCAGGAATCATTAATGGTAAAACTTGAAAAACTTTTTTATATCATATCAAATAATTATTTAATAACATGACATAAATTTAAAGGAAACCTCTGATAGTATTAATAATTATTGTGAAGGCCAAAGAAAATCCTTACGACAGATAACTCTTCTATCTAAGCAAAATGACGTTAATAAAGCTGCAAAATTAATAGATTTTAAGTATGAAATTTGTATCATTAAAATACTTAATGCTCATTGTTGGCCAAGATAAATTTATTAATTTCTTGTAGCAGCAAAGAAGAAATCAAAGTGGTAATAAAACCTTGGATAAGAATCGATGGAGTTTTGAATAGGCGTGTTTTGGATCGTATGCTTGGAGCAGTATTATGTTATTGTATAGAGAGGCCAGGTTTATCTCTTACTAGTGTACAAAATCGGTTCTCACCAGCATTGCAACCGTATCACACTAGGGAATTGATAGAGGTATGTTGTTTCAAATATTTTATCATGTAAATATTTATCTGGAGATGCTCAAGGGGCAGGTGTATCCATCAGTCTTGTTACATATGACTATGAGTAAGAAGTAAGAAGGCTCCGAGCTTACTTGCATACAAGTTAGAAGTATTCAAATAAGATTAAACTCATCATCTCTAATATTTAAAAATTTAATTGTTACAGATTTTAGTCAAACTTGGCTGTGTTAAAACAATTGTACAAAAAGTCACAAAGGTTACATTATTTTCTAAACCGGGCAAAATTGATTTTAGTAAGTAAATTTCGTAAAACCATATGCCACGCTTAATATATTATGTTTCAAAAAATTACAATTTTTTTCATCCAGGTGGTAATCCAAACCTAGTTGCAAACAGTAATAACTACATTATTGAGCCTGATACTCAGTGTGCATTGAAATTTGGAATGTTCCTAAGCAATAGGTCTTATAACTTTGATTTTCTTTCGTAGCTATGATTATAATGTACACAACATTAGATTTATGTTAATAAATGCAATGGAAAGATTATTTTATANCCATGTTATCAATTATAAACTAGCCGCAACTAATCTCCAAGATAGAAAGTAAAAAGTTGGAATTATTTGTGCTATTTGCGGCAAGTTTATAATTTATCTATTACCCGAAAATAGACCTCCAAAATAATAAATATTCTACTTATCTTATATGGCTTATAATCGATCATATTTACAAAATTACAATACTTTGAACTTTTCACCATTGTATGCATACAGCATAAGGGAACGCATTTACCTATTGTAAAATATACCCGTAATACAAATTCTGTTTACCTACAGTCGCCAATACGACAGAAGTCGGTAAACGGAACCCGGTATTGCCGGTATTTGACAATAGGTAAGAGCGTTCCCTACTATGTTGACTATAATACATTCGCGCCCTACACAACACCCCAATCGACTGGTCTCAACTACTTCTTATTTAAATATAAAATAAAAAGGTGACATATCTATACTTTCCCACTCCAGAATCACCCAAAATAATTACTTTGAGCAGAACTTTCTTGCGAGATGCCATTTTCCTTTTTTTAAATCAAATCTGTGATAGATTAGAAAAAAAAAACAATATGAAATCTGAATTATTATAATTCTTCGAGTTATTCAGAGGAAATAAAAAAAGAAATAATTGTGGAAATGAAGCAAAGCAGTAGTGTAAAGAAAACAAGTTATGATGTAAAGTATGGTCGTATGAGTGCAAGATTAGTAGCAATAAATTATTTTTGAAAATAATGTTTTTTGTCCATGGATTCTCATCAAACTAGAATTACTAAATTTTAGTAATACGTTTCCGAAATAAAACATTGCAAAATCGTCTGAGGACTTTTCAAAAATCGCACGGTTTTCCTTGAAAAATGTAATTTATTTGCGATTACTTTCAGTTCAATCGGTTATTGAATATGCAAAAAAAAAAAAACGCTTTTTTTGTCCAAATACCAAGCAAAACCGACAAAAGTTGTTGGTTATGGGACTGAGATCATGCAATAATTTTTTGGCGTATTAGTTTAATACATCTAATAGAACTGAACTAGACGGAATCAAACGGAAACAAAAGCGATCGCAAATAAGAGTAACCAAGAAAGTTATACTTTTTTAATTTTTTTAAATCTTTGAGGTATATTTTTAATACATTTTTCGTAACGAGTTTTAAAGTTCAGACTTTTTTTTCCTATAACGAGTTATGTTCTATCCATTACACTGTGTCTCAATGTATTTATTTGCAGTAGCATGTGTCGATAATGTATGAAAATTCACTTGCATTAAACAAAATACCTTGTACTACGTTTTCTATATTGGTAAATGTACATCATTTAGGAATCAATAAATTAATAAAAATACGCATTGATTGTCAATCAAATAGCGTACACTGGATTTTTTAACCATAACAATAATTAAATAACTTCAGGATTGAATTTACGACAACTTTCGTATATCTGATATTTCAATAAAATCATAATAATAATAGTATTACTCTAATATAATCAAGAATTATTCACTAATATTGGAAATAATTTTTCTGCAATCAATTATGTTACAGTGTACGAGCGAATAGCTCTACAAAACACTTTTATATTTTAGTTACAATTCGCCAGAGTAGCATGCATAGAGTTGTTACTTTGAATTCTTACACATATTTTCGTTCGACATTTTTTTTCCTTCAAATTGCGCACAATACGAACGTTACTCGACCTTATGTTCTGATGGTTATTTAACGGCAAATTGTGATTTTTCTTAACAAGGGCAAGTCTGGCTGTACCTTATACAAATTGATCATTTAATTATGAACTTAGATTTAAAATTGATTTGATTTACACATTTACTTATTCACAGCGATGAACCTGAATTTTGAGGCGGATAAAGACGATAAATTTTAAAAAAATCAGCGTTTGGTATTGTTTTCAGAAATTTCCGAACACCTAAAAAATTATTTTCCGAAAAGGAGAAAAAGAAATCTTACGCCATGAATAAAAGAGTAATTAATTAAAAATATATTTAACACTTAATTTCATGCATTGAGATAAATTGCTCAAGACTTGATCACCTTGCAGTTTTCTCGCCATTTTTACAGAGATTCTTACAAAATGTATAATCTGATCTGCAGTTTTGTGTACATCCAAAGTTTTGTTTATAATTTGGTACCTAGCAAGCACAAGAATCACCCTTTCCGTTGTTTCTTTGATCATTCGTCAGTTTTATCTGGTCTGGAAATTCATTGTAAAGTTCGACCTGTAAACAAATATCATTTAATCAGACTCGATTCTTAATTAATATCTAGGAAAATTTTAAGTAAAAAAGTTTTTTTTACCTCACTTTCCTGAGCTAGTGCATTTTTAGCTATCGTCTGAAAAGCTTGTTCTACATTGATTGCTTCCTTTGCACTGGTTTCAAAGTATGGAATATTATTTTTTGACTGACACCATTGTTGTGCTCTCTTGCTGGATACCTACAAAACAAATTTCATTTAGTTTAAAATAGTATTTTTATTTTTTTGGAGCTTACAGTGAAAGTTATTATCAAACTCATTCCACAGTAATGAACAATCGAACATCAAATGAACGATGTAATAGATAAATCATTATAAAAAATTTACCGCTCTGTTTTCTAAATCAACTTTATTTCCAAGGACAACAAATGGAAAGTTGTCTGGATCTCGTGGTGAAGCCTGAATGAGAAACTCATCTCTCCAAGAGTCCAAAGACTTGAAAGTACTTGGTGCAGCTACATCAAACACTAAGACACAGCAGTCTGCTCCCCTATAGAATGCGACACCGAGTGATTGAAATCTTTCTTGACCAGCAGTATCCCAAATCTAAATTTTTCCAAGTTAAGAGTTAAGGATATATTAATATCTGTATTGCTAATCTTTATTTTCTTTTTTACGTTGAATTCAGTTGAATGAAATTATCTCTGATGAAGTTAATTAACTCTAACTGAATCATATGTCTTTAACTAAATATAGTNGCGCCGATTCATGCGCAGCACAGATTACTTTTGAAGTCACTTTGTTACAAGTTACAAATTGCAAAAAGACGAGACGAGAAAAAAAATATCGCTAGATGGCACTGGTTGCTCAGTTATATATATATATATATATATATCTTTAAACTCCCATACAGCATAAGGGAACGCATTTACCTAATATAAAAAATTTTGTTTTGTTGTACATAGTAAAATTTTTTATAATGGTAGTTCAATAAAACGAAACGATTAAAGAGTTACACTAACGCAAATATTCGTGTAGGCTTTATCTAGCCAGATATCGAGTTGTTCATTGACAAAAATAGTAGGTACTAGGTACTTAATGAAAAATCTTGTAAAACTCGATTATATAGAAAAAAACTATAATTCATATTTCGAAATAACAAAAGCACTTGAAACATCTCCCCTTACCTGCATTGTCACTATCCTGTCATCAACCATGACTTCCTTTGTTAAAAAATCAGCTCCTATGGTGGCTTTGTATTGATTACTAAATTTTTTGTTCACATACTGATTCATAAGAGAGGTCTTTCCCACTCCAGAATCACCCAAAATAATTACTTTGAGCAGAACTTTCTTGCGAGATGCCATTTTCCTTTTTTTAAATCAAATCTGTGATAGATAAAAAATAACTGCTTAATGAATATAGGACAAAAAAGACAAAATCAAAGTGAGCCATTAAATTTGTAAATAACCTGCTAGAACCGCCCAACTTGTACCGTTGACGTGTGTGTGGTGCGTGGAATGAAAATTTGTTGTCCTTATGGATTAATCAATCAAGCAAATAGTCTGCAGTTCATGCTCAGTGCAACAACTTTGTCACTTTATCTGAAAATCACAATAGCATGAGTCAAACACTGTCCAGCTGTGTTGAGAAAACAATGAAACTGTTCGGATGATGTTGGCTGTTTTACGTATTTCAGACTATTTATGCTTTAAATTGATACAAGTAAAACTCAAATGAACTATTGAAAATATGTAGAAACCACAATGGTACCATACTACGCGTAAAACGAAGTAGAAGAACCGTGTTTAATAGACTATAGACATAATGTTTGCACACACTCGCAGCTGTAACAGACTGGCAATGGTAACAGTACTTAACAGCAGTGCATGCGCATGCAGTGTGTTACACATCTCGTCACTCGTCAGCATCAAAGAGAGAGAGAGAGAGAGAGAGAGAGAGAGAGAGACGGAGCGATATATATGTCTTTTAATTTTTCCGAATGAATCACGAGCAGGCAGAGAGAAAGATCTTCACTTAGAGATTTGAGAGCTGTAAAATATATGTATGAATATAAAATGAAGTGCAGTGAGTACCTAGGTATGGAAACGTACTTACACCTCTCTTGGGTATTTTATTTATCTCGTGATCGTGAATGACGTATAGCGTCGAGGTGTTTAAAATATATTTAATGTTATTTGACTCTAAAAGACACTCTTCGCTCGTAACTTCACCTCGTAACTTCACACACAACATTTACATAAAGAAAAAAAAAATATCACGGAAGAATAAAAATAAAATGAGAAATCAAGCGAAGATATGTGCATACATACACTTATTGTAATCTTAGGGCAAATTGGCAAGCGGAACTTTCTCTCCCTCCATGCAGAGAGGAAGTATATATGTAAGTATGTACACATTATACTTACCTACTTACACAATTGAGTTGATCTATAGGTGTACTTAGATGCGGGGAAGAAAGGTACTTATAGAGAGACGCACTAAGAAGGTAAATATTCCGTGAAGTATCTACTTACCAACAAAAAATAGAGCTGATTAACAACAATGACAGCATATACAAGCATATACAAGTGATTTATTTGCCAAGGATAAAAAACTTGCTATTACGTCAAAGTTGATGACGATGACGACTAAGCATATAACATATATACTTCAGTTATCAGACAGACGGACATACAACACAACAAAACACAAAAGATTAACAAAATAGCTGGATAATGTCTGCGTTATGTTCGCTTTATGCACACAAGCAGTCGACTCAGTACTCGACTGCGCAGTTGATATTGATAAGAATAATATTATCAAAAAAACACAAGTACTTAATTGCAATATGAAATACGATGAAGAGAGAACTCACAGCTCAGGAACAGAGTGAGTGTGTTGCGCGAAAGGCACTTGAAACTCGCAACTCTCGGAAGTGTATAGGTATGTACGTTAGTGTAATAGGGATACGTATGTTATATATTGAACTTCTCTCACATAAGTATTGAAGGATGCGGGGAATTGAGGATTGGGAATTGGGGATGGTAAACAATGCGTATCACATACCTACACATATAGTAACACTCTATATGTAGCTTTAGCTGCAGCTAGTGTCTGAAATTACAGAGCACAGAATCACAATCACACATCATAGTTGACAAGAACCACAACAATGAACGTATAGGAGCTAGGAGCTGATGTATAGGACCTACCTATAGAGCCTCTGATTTTATCATTCTGGTACAGAGAGCACGGTGTAACATGTACGTTAAGTTATGTGTAGTAATTAAAGTAATATCACTACTATCTAGTGCCATACAGTCGATTTTATTAAATCATATAAGTAGATTATCTATACTTTTAGAGATCGATTATCGGGTTGAAGATAAATTGTAAACTTGCCGCAAATAACATAGACAATGTCTACTTTTTATCTTCTATCTATTAGATTAGTTGCGGCTGGTTTATAATTGATTACATGGCTCTACTATAAGTATAGTAATAAATATTTGGATCAGCGCCATCTAGCGTTGCGGATTTCTGAGCTAAAAAGTGGCCCTAAACTTTTGACCCACAGCATTAGCGCTTAGAGCCATTTGGCTAATTATAAACCAGCCGCAACTCATTTTGTAGTTATAAAATCAAAAAATAATAGTACATGTGTTTTTGGCGGCAAGTAAACAATATATTTTCTACCAAAAAATTGACCTCTTATGTATTTATGCTTTTAAAGATAAATTTTCGAGTATAAGATAAATTATTAACTTGCCGCCAAAAACACATGTATCGTTATTTTTTTATTTTATAGCTACAAGATGAGTTGCGGCTGGTTTATAATTGA